CCACTGAGCCGCAGCCCCTCCCGAATTATCCCGGTGAATTTCCAGACCAGTACCCGACAGTTAGGCATGCTTAAACTCATTGATCTCGTGGGCTTACACATTTATGTGTTTACTTACTCCATTTATACCCTGCCTTTCTCCCTGATGATGACACACTGTTCTCCTCTTCTCCACTTTATCCTCACAACAGCCCTGTGAGGTAGGGTAGGCTGAGAGAGAGAGGAAGACTGGCCCATGGTCACCCAGAGGGCTTCCAGGGCACAGCGGACATTCGAATCTTGTCTCCCCAATCCTAGTCCCATGCTCTAACCACTACACCACACTAGGTACCTGTGTGTCGGATTGTGACCTCAGGCTTCCGCCGCCTTGTTAGAGCTCTTTTCGGAGGAAAACAGTTGACTTTGTAGAAGTATCCTGTGCAGAATTTTGGGGAACTGGTTTTGACAGCTCTTTGATGCTTCCCCGCAGGTGGCAGCCCTAGAGAAAGACTTAACAGAGCTGAAAACACCCTCTAAGGAAAACGTTGCTGATCTCCTGGATTCCTATCATATGAAGGTACGTGGGTAGCCCCCTGTTGTCCTGGCTTTGGGCTTTTCTGCATCCTCATTTTCCTCACTCGTAAGTTCCTGTTTCTTCAAAGGGGGGACGTGTTCTGTTCCGCATGTCTTTTCTCCCTCTAGTGGTTGATCCGATATTACATCTAAGGGCTCATTTTGTAGCAGGAACTCCTTTGCATATTAGGCGACACACCCCTAATGTAGCCAATCCTCCAAGAGCTCACAGAGCTCTTCTTACAGGGGCTACTGTAAGCTCTTGGAGGATTGGCTACATTAGGGGTGTGTCGCCTAATATGCAAAGGAATTCCTGCTCCAAAAAGAGCCATCCATCCCATCCATCCATCCGTCCGTCCGTCCATCCGTCCATCCGTCCATCTGTCCATCCATCCATCCATCTATCCATCCATCCCCCAGGCCTCTTTTTGTAGCAGGAGCTCCTTTGCATATTAGGCGACACCCCCCCGAATGTAGCCAATCCTCCAAGAGCTTGCAGAGCTCTTCCTACAGGGGCTACTGTAAGCACTTGGAGGATTGGCTACATTAGGGGTGTGTCACCTAATATGAAAAGGAGTTCCTATCTATCTATCTATCTATCTATCTATCTATCTATCTATCATCTATCTATCTATCATCTATACCAGGAACACCCCCAAAGTCCCCCGCTGGGGGTGGAAGATGGACTTGGCAACCCTAGGAACTTACAAGTGAAGAAAATGAGAAAGCAGAAAACCCCATTGTAGTGGAGAACCTTTGTACGGCAAAAATTAGCAGATTGCTCTGGGAACAACCTGAGGAGGATTAGGGGGGGCAGGAGGCGAGGCGGGGTAGACACACAACACTGATGTTAGCTAGTTAGTTTTGTTATTACGGTCTTAAGACCAACACAACACCTATGATACAAAATGGCCGGAAACAAAATTTGAAATCGGGAATTCCTCACTGGAAAAGTGAGAGTTCAGATCCGAAGGGGAAAAAAACGTGGGAAAAGTGGATTCAGAAAACGTGGGGTAACGGGGCGCTAAATTCGGATCTATTCCTGGGAAAGCAAAAATCTGTGCAGAAAGCTTTAAAAACTTTTAATTATTGAAGAACACCGATGTGGAGTTTTGCACTTGTGAGAAAATGGTCACAGCGAAGAAGGCGCATGTACAATGGTCACATGTGATGGCCTATATGGGACTTGTAGGCATTTGTCTACATGAAAAAACTCAGATGCTCAGAAAAGCTGTAACAGCTGAAGCGGCCTTCAGTGTCTTAGAAATGAGGAGAAGCATTTTCCAGTAGCATTTTTAAAAAGATATTCACTTCAAGCAGATAATGGAAAGCACAGTCTTAGAATCATAGAATGTTAGAGTTGGAAGGGACCTTGCAGGTCATCTAGTCCAACCCCCTGCACTCTGCAGGAGTATACTGAAAGATAGCCCTACATACCTACAACATACCCGAAAGATGGTCGTCCAGCCTCCGCTTGAAAACGTCCAGCGAAGGAGCATCCACCACCTCCTGAGGCAGTCTGTTCCACTGCTCAACCACTCTTACAGTTAGGAAGTTTCTCCTGATATTTAGCTGGTATCGACTCCCTTGTAATTTCCACCCATTAGATCTAGTCTTGCAATCCGGAGCAAGAGAGAATAGATCTGCTCCATCTTCTACATGACAGCCCTTCAGATATTTGAAGACTGCAATCATGTCCCCTCTAAGCCTTCTCTTTCCCAGGCTAAACATACCCAACTCTTTCAGCCTTTCCTCGTAAGACTTGGATTCCAACTCTCTCACTAATGTCCACCATACACAAGGAAAGTTTAATTTGGGTTCAGCTATCATCCATTTATGTCTGGAATTGTTAATATCGTTAAGGCACACTCTTGGAGTTGTCATTTTATTCAGGCGATACCGACGTTCATTTAATGGGAAATACATTCCCACCTGTAATGTCCCCCCACCCCACCGATCCATTTGGGGTGAAGTCCTTAGGGGCTTTAACCCTCACATAGAGGACCCTCCTTGGCAAAATGCAGAAAGGGAAGAGAGCCTCTTCACATTTTATAGCCTGTGAAAACTTTTCCTAGCAGAGGGGGGGGGGGGTTGGGAAGCGTGGTAATGTTTTTTTTAAACCTCACCCCCTTTTCTGTTGTTGGAATCCTAATGCAGGAGGTGGGGGGGCGGCAGGCATTTTTAAATGGAAATGATGAGAGGTGTTACACGTGCATGCAGGCACAGGTCCCATGCCAGGTTTGTTTATTTATTTGCATTATCTGTAGTCCGCTTATCTCACTGGGACACAAGGCGGATTACCCACAGAAAGTTAATGCAGTCAACAGGATAGGACCAATGCTCCCTCTAAACTCTGGAGTCCTGTAAGCAAAAATTCTACTTTCTGAGCTACGGGCATTAAAGTTGTGAGCAGGTGATTTGGCTGCCGCGTAACTTAGTTTGCTTCAGAGCCATCCCTTCCTGACCGAAGGCAAAAATGTGTGAGCCGGAGGCTAGAAAACGGTGAGCTAGCTCACACTGACTCAGCTTAGAGGGAACTCTGGATGGGACATCCGCAAAACAGTGCAGTGGGATTCGGCGTGCAGAAACCTGGAAGCCGCCGAAATCTGAAAACAGAACTAAAGCAAAGCCGTGAGTATCAACGCACCATTCGCCATTTTTCTTCTAGCCTTAACTTTCTGGTATCTCCGGAGAAGCCAGCAGGCTTTGTTGAGAGAAACTGAAATGCTTCAAACGGTACCACGTGGGGAGATCAGGCACAGGAGGGAATGAGATTAACTACCCACCCAAACCCACTTGCTCCATTTGTTTTGGTGAAAACGACCCCACCCCCATTCCTCCTCACGTTACATGTGAATTGGGGGGGGGGGGTCTCCAGGGCTGTTCTTAGGTGAGGGGAAAGATCCTCTCAGATGGAGAGATCAGACTTTTCACTCACGGGTTCCACAGACAGGTGAATCAGCAGCGGCACAGAGCACTGAAGTGCCAACTGTTGTAAGGGAAAGGTAAAGGTTCCCTTGCTCGAAAGCCAGTCGAGTCCGACTCTAGGGTTGCGGTGCTCATCTCCGTTTCAAAGCCGAAGAGCCAGCGCTGTCCGAAGATGTTTCCGTGGTCATGTGGCCAGCATGATTAAACACCAAGGCGCACGGAACGCTGTTACCTTCCCACCGAAGTGGTACCTATTTATCTACTTGCAATTTCTTGCTTTTGAACTGCTAGGTTGGCAGGAGCTGGAACTAGAGACGGGAGCTCACTCCATCATGCGGCACACCCGGGTCTCGAACTGCTGAACTACTGACCTTCCACAGCCTGCAGTTCAGCGTCTTAACCCCTTGAGCCACCGCAGCTCCTTTACCAACTGTTAAGTTAAATGTAAAAAATAAATCATTTGACTTGGAAGCACGGAAGCTTTACACAGTATCCCGTGATCCTCCATATTTCCCAGTTAAGGGGAAATGCTGTTCAAATAAATTACAAAGATGGTCCGACTACGGTGGTAATGAAGGAAAGAAATTTTACTTACAAAAATAGAACCACGTCTTACATGACATATTCATGTAGGGACATATCACTTATTGTGAACAGATTGACTTTGAAATAGGTTAAGTTGGTACCGCTCCAAGCCCAGGTAAGAGGGAGCAAGAGAGAGGTCCTATAGAAGATGAAACATGGAAGGCAAAGCAAGGGCCAAAGATGAGAGGGTGGGGCCGACCGCCAGGTGTACCCAAGTACGAGAATTCTCTTAACCCTTTCCTTCCCCGATCCTCTTTCACGCAGTATTAAAATATCCAACACCAGCATGGACTATGTGTTCCGGTTGGATAGTGTGCCTGTCAGTTACATACCTGCTGAGTCGCTGCCCGTCCTTTGCTGAAGAGACATGTAAGCCGCAAGCAGAGTTCTGCTGCAGACTTTGTAGCGGCAGCTCCAACCTCCTCAGCTCAGATCCAAAAGCCGGAGGAAATCTCATATGGGTCAAGTTGCCCTTCTGGGCGCTGACATCGGGTTTTAATTAGCTGCTTTCCGAATGCACCCCCTCCGTCAGGCACTTCAGCACACCTGTTCTGTTATTGTGTTGAGTTTTAACAAAGCTCGTCCTGGCTGGGTTCCCGTGTCAGCATGTTTGGAGCAGTCGGGCGAGTCCTGCGGTTATGTGAAAGCAACTGGTCCAGTAGCTTGGTGGGGGGGAGCTATCCGTTTAGGAGCGAACTCACAAGGTTGGTGGGAGGGGATGGGGTGGTGGAGGGGGAAGTCTGGTGTGTCTCCTCAAGACCCTCAGAGGTAGGATGGGGGAAGGAGAAGAAACAGAGAGGAAGAGGTGGATCATAGCCATGCTCAGCTGCTGAGGCTGGGCGTATGGGGTGCATGCGCTGAAAAACTACCTTATTTACTTGGAAGGAAGATGACTGGTCTCCTAAAAGTGATAGACAGACAGACAGATGATAGATAAGATAGATGGATAGACAGACAGACAGACAGACTAATTTGTATAGAAATGTACGATACCTTCCCTTTTATGGTATCCCTTGGAAATACCTAGTCTTGCATATGATTGTATCAGGCCTACTCAACTTGTGATGCGCCGGTCATGTCTCACGGGGATTTGACAACACACACTTGTTTTTTCAGTCCTAGGCCAGCAGCTGGTTTAGGAGCTTAGCATTCACAGTTTTTCACCTGTGTCCATTTTGATCAGTCACCAACTGGGCCGGCTTGCCAAGTGTGTGGGTAGCCGACGGTTCTGTGGCTCCAGAGGGCCGGGTCCAGGGGGCAGTCAGAGTTGCCAGACCATGCCGGGCATGGGGAAATGGGGGGGGCACAGTATCCTCCGCACCGCAGAGTAACTCCCGGGTTCCCCATGGAAGTGACGTAGTGGCACAGATACCACCGTCTTTTTAAAAAGTCTCCTGCTGCCATTCCGAGCAGCGGTGGGCAACAGGATCTGGAGAAAGAGGAGTCCTCTACCGGAGAAGTGGCAAGCAGTGTTCCCTCTAAGCTTGAGTGAGTGTGAGCTAGTTCACAGGTTTTTAGCCTCCGGCTCACACATTTTTTGTCTTAGCTCAGGAAGGACAGCTCTGGAGCAGACTGATTTATGCAGCAGCTCGCTCACAACTTTAATGCCAGTAGGATTTTTGCTCACGAGTCTCCGCAGCCTAGAGGGAGCATTGGTGGCAAGCTTAAGAGGGTTGTAAGCAGAACTCAGCTTGCAGCTCAGGAGGGGCCACGGCTCAGTGGGAGAACATCTGCTTGGCATGCAGAAGGTCCCAGGTTCAGTCCCCGGCCTCTCCAGTTAGAAAGGACCAGGCAGCAGGCGATGGGAAGGAACTCAGCCTGAGACCCTGGAGCGCGGCTGCCACTCTGAGTAGACAAAACGGACCTTGATGGACTGACAGCGTGATTCAGTTGAAGGCATTCAATAGCCTTTCCCCATTTCTTGTGCATTCCCCCTAATCCTGCTTCTTGGGGTGGGGTGACACTCAGTAGTGGTTTGCAGTGGAAAATCCGACTCTATTGAAATATTCAAGGGGCTTCGGTCAACAAACTTGTTCGTTTCAAATTTGAAAGATACAATCCCATCCTGTTGTTGTTGTTTTTTAAAAAAAATATCCAGTCATAATGGCGGACATACGGGCTGTTCACAGAATCCGTTACAGTAGATGCAATCCCAGATTGGTATTCCAAAGGAACGAGAAAATAATAAATGTTATGACATCCGAAACAGCCAAAAACGGATGGTATTAAAATAATTCTTCGTCAGGCATCTGATGGGGAACGGAATGATTTATTTGTTCAATATAATTCGTTGCGGTGCTTGGCCTTACAAACACTCTGGGCCTTTATGAGCAAATCCCTTCAGAATTTCAATCAGTATCTTTGGGTTTAAAGATCTGAGGTGATTTTCTTCTTGATACAGGCGGTTGTTTTCAGCAGTCCCAATATGCCTTGCAGTATACTTTCAAGGCAACAAAAAAGAAAAGAAAGACTGGTGCCAAAAATTATTTGCTTTTTTTTAACTTCCATGGAGTATTCCCACACGGGGACTCAGTTTCCCGCTTATGGAACACTTAACGATCAATTAAAATTTGTCAGATGCTGTCTTCTGTCCCTTTCATTTTAAATATGCATGATTTTCAGTTCCACAGACTGTTTCTTCTGTCAGAAAAGAAAGACAGCTACAAGGAAAGAGATCTGGATTCGAGTCCAGCGTCACGTTCGAGACCAATAAGATTTTCGGGGGTATGAACTTTTGAAAGTCAAAACGCCCTTCATCAGATACATCTGACTCTCGAAATCTCGTACCCCGAAAATCTTGTTCGTCTCTAAAGTGCCGTTGGACTCGAATTTAGCTCTTCTACTGCAGACGAGCATTGGTACCCTCCCAGAACTGTCTTCAAGGAAGGAGAGCTTAACTCCCCGTACCATCCAGCTTGAAACTTTGCATGCCTGCAGAAATCAGTCCTGTACAAGACACGTAACTCTTTTTTCATCCCGCTTCGGCATGGCTCTCTTTACCAAGGATCTCCGATGAGCGGGCGGCAGAAATATTAATGGGCTTAATTCAAATACCGCTGTGGTGATAAATTTTCAGCTGAGCGGAAAGCAAAGGAGTCTCATCTTACGCACGCTGAGAGTTAATGAGCTGGAAGCTGTGAACAGGAAGGCGGTGGACTGCAAATGCCCGGCGTTTGTCTCTGATCCTCTCCCCCCTGACGCGCTTGTCAGGGAGACGCATCCAGTGTTCCCTCTAAGCTGAGTTAGTGTGAGCTAGCTCAGTTATTTTAGCCTCCGGCTCACACATTTTTGTCTTAGCCCAGGAAGAATAGCTCCAGAGCAAACTAATTTATGCAGTAGCCCAATCGCTTGCTCACAACTTTAACGCCAGTAGCTCACAAAGTAGGATTTTTGCTCACAAGACTCCACAGCTTAGAGGGAATATTGGACGCATCCTCGTAGTCTCGCCCACACCCTTGTTGTGGCAGAAGGTCTAGGCGGGTTGTCACAAGTTCCAGTTCAAACGCTTTGTATGATGCTGCCTTCTCGGCTGGCTGTGAATAGTCGATACTCGTTGCCTGGTGTGTCTGTGCATAGTTCTGGGATGATTATAAATAGCCAGGGAGGCTCGTTGGTTAGGGGGCTAGAGACCAGCGTGAAAGGTTGAGTGGTCCTGCCCACCTTGACATTTGGCTACCCTGTTTGTGTGTGATCTTTCTTTCCTCCAAGGAGGTCAGGGTGGCACGTCTGGGTCTCCCTTCCTCCATTTCATCCACACAACAACCCTGTGAGGTAGGTCAGGCTGAGAGAGAGTGCTACCAGAGACACCCACAGTGCTACCTGAAGAAGAGAAGAAGAGATTGGATTTATACCCCACCCTTCACTCGGAGTCTCAGTGCGGCTTACAAACCCCTTTCCCTTCCCCTCCCCACAACAGACACCCTGTGGGATAGGTGGGGCTGAGAGAGCTCTGACACAAACTGCTCTTTTTCAAGGACAGCTCTTATCAGAACTATGGCTTGCCCAAGGTCATCCAGCCAGGTGCAAGTGGAGGAGTGGGGAATCAAACCCGGTTCTCCCAGATTAGAGTCCGTGCACTTAACCACTACACCAAACTGGCTGGATGGAGGAGGAGGAGGATTTTGGATTTATACCCTGTCCTTCACTCAGAGTGGCTTACAAACTCCTTTCCCTTCCCCTCCCCACAACAGACACCCTGTGAGGTAGGTGGGGCTGAGAGAGCTCTGAGAGAACTGCCCTTGAGAGAACAGCTCTGAGAGAACTTGTGACTGACCCAAGGTCATCCAGCCACGTGCAAGTGGAAGAGTGGGGAATCAAACCCAGTTCTCCCAGATTAGAGTCCGCACACTTCACCACTACACCAAACTGGTGAAGAAGAGTTCCATCCTGCAAAGTCCACTGGGATTATGCTTTCTATCTTTCTTTGGCTATGTTAAGAATGTATGAGTGAACTTTACAGCAGGATGGAGATTTGAATTAAGAACCTGGAAGGTTAAATGAATCCAATTTGAATTAAGAACCTGGAAGGCTAAATGAATCCCAACTCAGTGGGCCCAGTATTTAAATAAAATATGTTTTAATCTAAATGGAGACTATATCAGGAGCTGTAACTGGGTTTTTTTTAATATCTTGTAATAAATATTTATATTTTTGTATAATTAATGTATACTTACATTCTGTTTTCATTTATTTCAATATTGGGCCTGCTGATCTGGATTCGTTTAACCTTCTAGGTTCTTAATTCATCTTCTTGGGTTAAGTTTTTTCTTCCCCTCTTTTTGTTCCTGTGGATGGAGATTTGAAGCCAGGTCTTCCCGGTCAGGATGTGTCACTCAACCTGAGGGTTCCCAACGTGGCGCCCGCCAAGTGTTTTCAGAATGTGGGCAGGGCCAAGTGGGATTTTTGCCCAGCAAGACTTCTGATTGGCCACTGGAGATTTGATTGCCTGTGTAGAATTTTAAGGCTCTTCAGTGTGTAACTGAAGGTAGGTTGCATCGGCCATTTTGTGGCTGTCTCTGCCTCCTATAGCATCCATTTTGTCAGAATTCCAAATGTGCCTATAGGGTCAAAAATGTTGGGGACCCCTGCTCTAACTACAGCACCACGCTGACTCTCTACCAACGACACCGTGTGTAAGATTAGCTCAGGGTTTTTTTATTTGCCTGAAAATACAGTTATAACGTACGAGAGAATTCTTTGAAAATGGTCGTAACCAGGGCTCTTTTTGTAGAAAAAGCCCAGCAGGAACTCATTAGCATAATAGGCCACACCCAACAGCAGGAACTCATTAGCATATTAGGCCACACCCCTGACAGCACAGCTCATTAGCACATTAGGCCACACCCCCATGTTACTAGAAGTGTGGTTATCCAGCCACACCCACCTTTTGCTTCTTATTCCGTTTACCTTGTTTGTTGTCAAAACCCAGGGCTTTTTTGTAGCAGGAACTCCTTTGCATGTTAGGCCACACACCCCTAATGTAGCCAATCCTAATGAGTTCCTGCTGTTGGGTGTGGCCTATTATGCTAATAAGTTCCTGCTGGGCGTGGTCAACTTGGGAGCCAGCCGGAACTCCATTCCTGTGCGTTCCTGCCCAAAAATAGCCCAAAAATAGCCCTGGTTGTAACTCTGCTAATAGTCGATTGCCTTACAAAGAAGCATCGTGCATTTCTGTGTTTTAGCGGTGCCCTTTAATTATTTTAGCACAAACTATTTTAACCAGTTTATAGAAATTCCGTTGTCTCACGTTTTCTTAAAAGGGACATCGAAAATGACTGTTTTTATTTGCATTTTTCAGAATCTGGGTGATGAAAGTTAAGGGATTTTTTTTCTTTTTCAATTTTGGTCAACAGTGCAAACTTGATCAAGAGAAAGAGTTCATACTAAGTCAACATCTGGACAAGATTAACAGGTATTTTCAATTGCTTTTGACCCTTCCTTCCTTCCTTCCTTCCTTCCTTCCTTCCTTCCTTCCTTCCTTCCTCCCTCCCTCCCTCGCGCCCCGCAGCTGCGGGGAGCCTGGGCAACCCCCCCCCCTTGAAGGTTTTGGCTGTAGTGGGTGTGGCCAACTCTGAAGCCAGCCGGAACTCCGTTCCTGTGCGTTCCTGCCCAAAAATAGCCCTGACAAAATTCATTAAGATTCAGTTTGTGGCAGAATTAGTTTGCAGTTAAGTCCAATAAAGAACAGAGTACGTGAATAAATAAAAAGAGTATATTTTAAGATGCCTGCAAAAATATTTACCAAGCAGAACTCCTTTCTTGATTCAGGTGCGACTGTTTTATTACCCATTTATTTGTTAAGAACGTGTCTGTGCCGCTTCTTCAAAGAACTTGTTGGAGGCAGCTTACAAAGTAAAATGTAATAAAAACATTAATGTGATTAAAAACCAAACTTGCCGTTAAAAACCCAGCGAGAGCATAAAAGCAGCATCACAGCGCCTTAAAAAAGCCTCATAAAACTGTACTCAGGCTAGAAGCAGGCCATAAAAGTGGTTTTAAAAGGTTGACCTTTTATTTAAAATCCTGGATAAACAGGACCGATTTCACACAAGAGCTGTGCCGCGGTCGTGCCTCCCTTTGCCCCGCTCAAAAAACCAGGACCACGAAACCGCAGGGGAAATCGGGCGAAGCCGCGGGTCAAAATGCGGCTGCACAGCTTCGTGTGGAAAACTGACCAATAGAAGCGGGGCAAAGGGAGGCGCGGCCGCAGTACAGCTCTTGTGTGAAATCGGTCCAGAAGTGTTTTGCCTCGATCCTTGACTCTTTAAGGCACCGGACTCTGTTCACAGCTTGGGAGTCTTGCTGGATTGTGGCCTTCCGTTAGAGAAACCACTGTCTGTGACAGTGAAAAGTACTTTTTTCCAGCTACGTCGAGACAGGAAGCTGGCTTACTATTTGCAGATACCTGACCAGCCCATGCTGATCCATGCTTCAGTAGCCTTGAGGCTAGATTACCGTAGTGCCACCCACATGGGGATGACCCTGAAGACAGCTGCCACTATTATCTGGGGGTAGCCGCATTAATGTGATTAAAAACCAAACTTGCCATTAAAAACCCAGCGAGACAGTGAAAAGTGCTTTTTTCCAGCTATGTCGAGACAGGAAGCTGGCTTACTATTTGCAGATACCTGACCAGCCCATGCTGATCTATGCTTCAGTAGCCTTGAGGCTAGATTACCGTAGTGCCACTTACGTGGGGATGCCCCTGAAGACAGCGGCCACTATTATCTGGGGGTAGCCGGCAGGACCACGTGACTCCTATTCTGAGGTCCCTTCACTTGGCTGCCCGTTCACTTCCAGGTCCATACCAATGTTCCCTCTAAGCTGTGGAGTCTTGTGAGCAAAAATTCTACATTCTGAGCTGCTGCCATTAAAATTGTGAGCAACCGATTTGGCTACTGCATAAATTAGTTTGCTCTGGGGCCATTCTTCCTGAGCTAAGACAAGAATCCATGAGCTGGAGGCTAAAAACCTGTGAGCTAACTCACACTAACTCAGCTTAGAGAGAACACTGGTCCATACTAGATTACTGTAGATTACAGCTAGATTACTGTAGCACACTCTATGTAGGGCTGCCCTTGGAGAACTTGGGAAAGAGCAGCTGGTACAATACCCAACAGCCACTTTATTATCCGAGGTAGCCGTTAGGACCACGTGACTCTTCTTCTGAGGTTCCTTCACTAGCTGCCCATTGATTTCCACAGCTGAGAATTAGATACGCTGATTACAGAATTAGATTTGTATGTTATACGGTCTTGGGTCCTGAGATGCTGAAAAGAAAGGCAGTCATAGAGATGTTTTAAACAAAGGAATCAGGGAAGGCAGGGGTCAGTTCATAGAAAAAGAGGTGCAGGGGCTCATTAGCATGACTTATTTGCATATGCCACACCCCCTGACATCACCGGAAGTGTGTCAGAAGGCAACACCCACTGCTCAGGCTCCACTGGACTGTTTTGGATTGCTAGCTATTGGAGGGGGGGGGAACGTGCAGATCTGTCCTTGCAGAGGAGGGAGAGCTTGTACCTGAATAAAACTTGGTCTTAAAGGTGCCACTGGACTGTTTTGGACCGGGGGGCCGGGGGGGGCTCTGCAACTTACCTGGCTGCTTCTTGCTCTGACTGAGGGCTGCTGGGAGCAGGGGGTGGGGCTTGTTGCATGTGCCCGCCCCCTGGGCTCTTTACTGCCGGAGCTCCGCTCCTGTGCGCTCCTGCAGGAAATGACCCCTGAGGGAAGGGCATTTCGCAGGTGGGTGCCGCCACTGGGGGGGGGGGAACTGTCATTGGCCATCACTTGGTTGGGGACTGTGTGAAATGGGATGCTGGACTAGCTGGACCATGTAATTAGTCTGATCCAGCAGAGCTCTTCTTAAAGGCTCGGAAACGTCACATTTTGTCAGGTGTGGTTCTTTTGCTTTCCTGATAACTTGTACTATACTCTGTGCCTGCTATGCTGTAATAAATATGTACATGTATTAAGAATTCAGTATTTTTCTGATCCCAAAACATTTTAAACCATTGGTTGATCTGCGACATTTTCTATTTAGCCTGTTTTCAGCCAGCAGCATGGAAGAACTTATCCAAAACCTGAAGCGGGATGGTTCTCCTTTTGCGCTCAAGCAACTAGAGGTAACATGACAGTACGTTTTACTTTATTGTCGGGGTACATCCCGAGCCACCTGATGGCCGGAGCGGAGCAGACGGTGACCGATTGCGGGAGCGGGGCCTTTGGCAAAATGCCAGGGGGTCTCTCCCTCAGCTCACCCCGCGTTTGCTGGTTAACGAGCATCCAAACAAGTTCTGTGACCCCCGCCAAGGTGGGTTCGACTTGCATTTCTCAGCCTCCCACCCTGCATCCCAAACCAGTCTCCTCCGTCCTCACTGTGGTTTCAGGACTCTCCCACCCCGTTTGAAACGAACCACAGTTAGGGCTAACGCGGTTAGCTCTGAGAAGAGAAAAGAATTGGGAATCTGCACGATTTATTTATTTATTATTCTGTTTACTCCGTTTGTACCTTTCCGTACTCCCCGGTGGGGGCCCGACCAGTGTTCCCTCTAAGCTAAGTTGGTGTGAGCTAGCTCACCATTTTTTAGCTTCCAGCCCACACATTTTTGTCTCAGCTCAGGAAGGAGGGCTCCCGAGCAAACTAATTTATGCAGTAGCCCAATCGCTCGCTCACAACTTTAATGCCGGTAGCTCACAAAGCAGAATTTTTGCTCACAAGACTCCACCGCTTAGAGGGAACATTGGGCCCGACGCGGCTTTCATTGTTCTCCTCTTCTTCATTTTATCCATAACAATCCTGCGAGCTCACTTTGACGGAGAGCGTCTGATTGGCCTGAGGTCGTGTGGCAAGGTTCCATGGCAGAATAGCATTCGAACCTGGGTCGTCCCCCCTCCCCTCCCCGAGTCCTAGTCTGATGCTCTAACACAGGGGTGTCAAACATGCGGCCCGGGGGCCGGATCAGGCCCCCGGAGGGCTTCTATCAGGCCCGCAGTGGAACTGGCTGTCTTCTGCTTCTTCCCATTCTGCTGCTGCTGCATCATTGTATGTTTGCAGCTTAGACACAAACACAAAGGGTTGGTTTTTTTACTTAAAATAAAAACATGCGTAAGACATTAGCACTCTTGCAATATTTTGTTTATGTGTATGTAACAGTGTCTGATAACTGACACCTCTTGCTGTGTATTATTGCATCAAAATGTCTGTGCTGTTGCAATCTTGAGTATGCTGTTCAGGTGTGTACCTGTAAGCTGCAAACCTATGATGACGCAGCAGCATCAGAACTGGAAGAAGAAGCAGAAGACAGCCAGTT